AATCATGAAATCTTGTAACAATAGCATGATAGGCTAGTTATCGTCAGATGAATTTATCGATCATTTGTCTAAATTGTTATGTATGAAAATATGTAACTATATCGATCGGGTTAATGTAAACTTTATGAATGACTGTTAACCTTATTTCACGTAATTTCTTTGATGTAATAAGCCAACTTTTTGTGCTCTATGTTCAGTTGGTGTGCGAAACTGATTGGCCTATGGTTCAGTTAATAAATATGATGAATCAATATTTATTTTGTAATTTGTATAATTTCATTGGAGTTCAAAATAAGAACAATGCGGAATACCTGGAATATGAAAAGTGAGTAATATGATAGTATATACAATGTGTTATATGCTGTAGTAGATTATTGCAATAAGTGTGAATTGTGTTGCATTGTTTCGTTACAACAACCACAATAAAACCGAAATGTGAATGGTTACAGTAAGAAATCTAATAAGGTAAAACCAACTGATTACAAGAATACCGATTTTGATAAATTCTGACAACCTCATCGTCATCGAGGACTTGTCGGACGAGAATTACAGAACGGAAAAAAATAACAAAAGTTCTGTTCTCACTGATAAACAACCTTCTAAAGTGTCCTCACTAAAAGTTTGTACTCTTGAAGCGATCAATCATTTCTCTATTCATAGTCGTGAATTTGAAAATTACTGAAATCATATGCTGCAGTGAACATAAATACTGAAGAACCAGTAATAAACTTTGGTTCTTAGATAATCCATAGTCTCCCAAATAACTGAATATTATTCATTGACTTTTTTATGTCAGTTGTGAGTTGGTTTCTCTACTCACGAAGTCAGTCGATAATATGTAACATAGATTCTGGCACACATATAGTGCTACTTCAAGAGATCTGCGAGGTTCTAAGTGGATGGAAGTGATGTTATCTCTCTATCATACATGTTAAAAGTATTTATTTATGCAGTATTAGGATCATATATGATCAGGACATCTTGTTCACCTACTATTCTGTACCGATTACAAAATATAGGAATTCTTCTGGAATCATAGTGTTCATCCCTTAAAAAAACTTCCCTCAATTGTCTTAGTTAATCCATTTCCATTGATAGAATTTTGTTTAATATGGGCTAATTTATCACAGCCAATTCTCTTCAATTATCAGTATGGGGTTGTGGAGATTATTACGATTTGACTGAGATCATGAACTGACTGATGTTAGACCACCACTGAAAACCTGAAAGCACTGAGCGGCCGTTTCGTCCTATTGTAGGACTCTTCAGCAGTGCGCATCCACGATCCCGGGTTCGAATACCACGCGCGGTATATATATATATATATATATATATATATATATATATATATCCAGTAATATAAACACAAATTAATATCTAAAAATCTTTCTTAAATAATAATTCTATTGTCTGAAAAACTATTATCATCATCATCATATGAACAAACTATATACTCTTCACATTCTATAGTTATATATCTAAATTATAAATTCAAAGCATGATCAGGTTTAAGGTAAATAATCTTTGTGAATTAAGGCAATATCGAGGCGATACACACAGTATGCACATATGCCAATAGGAGACTGATTAATTGTAATCCTAATCATCAATGGGAAGATTCAAGTAACCAATACCAAGTGGATTTGAATTTATGATTGTTTGTAAGATAAAATAAAATTAGTGATGTTGGAATGGCTAATACGATGCACATAAGCACGAAAATATAAATTCCTAGAATTTCTACCAACATAACTTCCTTTACAAGAGCAGCCGGATTAATAACTAAGGAAATAGGTGGCTCGTCTAAGTAGTTTATCTTCCGTCTCGACGTGACCACTGAACACAGGTTCCTTAAATTCTTTAGTGCAACTTCAGTATTAGTGTTCCGTTGGGCGCGTCATGTCTAAATTATAGATGTATAAAGAGACTTTGTGCTCACAGTTATGACTTCCTTTTTTATTTTCTTGGCCAAATATATATTTGTAAACTTGTTAGGGTATTTATTTTTTTACAACTGCATCTGAGGAGCAAGTTGCTTTGATTATATATTGAGGTGTTTTAACGAGGTTCCTCATAATGGCAAGTATCAGCAATTTGCTTGTTTATGTTTCATCTTAGTGACCGATCTACTCATTTTGTAAGTAGGAAATCTTGAGAAGTTATTCTGGCTCAATTAATGATTCTATTCTATTTTTCAAATAATCTTTAATTCACTTCCAATAATATTAAACGATGTAACTACCTTAATGCTTGCCAACTTTCGAATTATTCATTTGGATATATAATTGCAGAATGTGGAATGAATTTATTGAAATGCATTATTATACTGACCAAGAAATGACCATTTTCTGTAAGACAATCGATCATTCAACACCTACGCACTCAAATAGTTAACCAGGTAGCAAAATCTAACATTTCAACCAATGGTATGACGTTTACAACGGATGATGAAATATTACCATCATCAAATTTTTGTCTAACATGAACAAAACAGTTTACCTTATACCTTGTGTTACTTACAATTTATAAGTAGTATAAATTTGTATAGTACACTATCCTTAATGTCTCAATAGAAATGTTCGTGAAACAAAGACTTGTTCAGCTTTTGAGTAAATAATGTTAAATGGTTTGTATAAGAAAAATATGATAGAATATTTAGAAAACATGAACAGATTGTAGGGGAATTAAGATTGCGAATTATTCGATTTACTAAAAGTCTGATTACACCATCAATGATCATATTTCTGTGTTATATGCATAAATTTACGGAGGATAATACAGGTCCTTCACTTTTCCATTATATCTTATACTTATATGACTAATCTATTCATAGTGTTCATCAAGTGCTGTCAATTTACACTGTCCAACAAAAAATCTTGAGAAGATTAATTGTCAAACATAATTACACTTAGTTTCATTACATGATAGACAGCAGTTATATTAACGTGTATTTAAATATCTTGTAAGGTCAGTGAAATGTCACTGAGCCCTAGTCAAATCATCCGGCATTTGGGTCACTGAATATCGAACGGATCATTGATCCCTGTCAAGGTCAAGGAAAAACAATGGGCATCAGTTAGTCGTACACCATGAACTGGCCCATGCAGTGGTGGTCACACTTTCGCTTGTACCTACTTTAAATAATATATTTCTGTAATAACGTCCTTTGTGTTGTAAAGTCTTAAAAGCATCCATAGTATATTGATACGACGAAAGGGTGATCCACGTTATGTGTTGACCTTGAGGTGTGACTTCGACTTTAGCTGTTGGTCACATCATTCCCGTCTAACTTGAGTAGGCCCCCAATCATTCGATAGAGTTCATCAACGTTGATGATCTACAGATGAAATTTGAAATAACCTTTAATTGTCAGGTGTAACAATTAATTTTGATATCGTTTTATTCTATGATAAACACTTTACTAAAGGAGAGTTGTACCGTTTGTTTAATTCATAACTTCTACACAGTAAACCGCCTTTACCTCAACAACCAAAGAAAAATAACGAGTAACGAATAGATTTATATATTATGTAGCACTTTAATTATACTCATTCACAATTCGCTAGAGGTTTATTCCAGGACTTTCATTTTACATATCCAGATATAACAACACCGTTATTGCACACCCTATGAAAGTGTATTTCTGTACCACTGAGTGATTTTAGATAGGAAGGCATCATATATCTGTTTAATCAAAGTATGGTACACTTTAAAAGTGTGCATTAACAACAACTTGAGTATTGTATTTATTGTTTGAAATAGAACATGCCTGCACTGAATAGTTACATCTTCCGTGCATTCCAAAGGGTATTAATTATTGATGACTTTCGTTTCCAGCCTGTAATTATCTATTATCTTAGTTATTATTATTACTAATTATAAATCCTTTTTTACTGTTGTTTCTTTTATAAACTCTACTAATTTTAAATGAGTTATCCTATCTAATGCATATAACATTTTCTGAATTAACTTTCCTTCTTCAGTAACTTGTTTTCTTAAATATAATTGAAAATATATTCTAACATTTGAACACTACTTATTTCCTCTTTTCCATACTGTTATAACGATCAGTTTTCTTGTCTACACGAATGGGACACTAATTTGCCTTAGACAAATATCTATACTAGATACTCTCCCAGTGTCTATTCTACAGGATTTCAACATAACTCAGGACAAGAACATGTGACGAGCCTGACTAGAACGTAAATATATTTGCACATCAAAAACCGGAAACAATCTGACAACAGCCTGACAACAATCCCATAATAATAATAATAATATGGGTAAGAGAGTATATCACTCATCTGGTACCTGTTAGACTATCTGCTAGTCTGACTTAGCAAACAACCAATCATTATCTTCCTCTCACACAAATCTTTATTGATGAAGACATTTTTCAGTAGACTTGTTTTATATCATTAAACAGTAAAACAACTCTGAACAACTGGTTATTCTTATTTAATTCTTCTCATGATCAATCACACATAGCCCCCAAATGCCCTGGTACGGCCGAGAGTGGGGAGAGTCCGCTCTCCCTCTCAAAATGCTCTCACATGGCCACGCGTATATAGCATCTGCCAGGGAAGTCCTACTCACTGCCTTCTCGTGGCGGGGGTGTTGTTAACGAAAATGAGAGGACGAAAAGCGAATGTCCGGCGCTTTAACCGGATTCCAAACCAATGGTGCAAATGGGCTCCAGTATCCTGAAGGAACAAATGGCGTATAAACCAATTGTTGATTACCGGCTACCATGAGACTGCATCTCCCTACGTCGCTCCACTCTCTTGTAGATCAGACGTTTGAGTCAAAGGCTCCGAGTGTAGCCCACTGAGAAGCTCACCTGCTTCGGCTTGGGCACCCGGACAGTATCCCAGCCCTCACTCAAATCGAATGATTTGTGTGATACATATCTATTTAGTGCTTCCTTGTACTAATGTTTATATGTTTAAATAAATAATATATAGACTGATAGTTTGGTTGAGAAATAAACAACAACAAAAAACCCTAGTAGAATTATATATTGGTTTATATTGTAATTTTATACACAACATTTTAAGTGAATTTTCATTGTAAATTATTGTTACTATTACATACTGGTTAAAAAATTCATCAATAGATCAATATTATCATTGTCAATTCTTTTGAAAGGGGAACAAAAACACCCAGAAAAACAATATTGAAGAGGTTTATATTTATGAGAACTAATAAGATGAATAAATCGATTTATTGTTACTAAATTAAAATGTTCAATGTTTAAAGTGTACAAGACAGTCTCTAACGTTATATCATATATTCGATCAATTGAGCAAGAATTATGAATCAGAAAAAAGACAAACCAAACAAAAACGTGTTAGTAACAAAAGATGAACAATATAAGATTGATTTTATTTGTTTTGTTGCTGGTGTTGTTGTTGATTATATCATCCTTTAACGATGAGATAATTACATGAAGTTATCATTAAATACGTATCCACTTGTTGATAGTTTTTATCCAGTTATTATCTCTTTTTATTTATCAATACAGCCATTAGGAGTATTATGATCTGTTTAGGGGTGGGTGGGTAAAAACATCAAATATAAAAGCACATTAAAGAAATAGTTGGTTTATGATGAATGAACACTATTGAAGAGTTTTGAAGTGAAATGATATGACTATCGAGTGTTCCAACATTTTCATTGACTACCTAGTTAGTCACTTCATAATCCACACTGTTCTTAGATTGAAAAATTGTTTATTGATTTTTGTTCGTCTCTAGAAATATTCCTAAAGTTCTAGTGAGAAGCCATACTCAGTGAACTTCAACCATATACGGTGTAGAAAAACATAATGAAACCTTTACTTCTATATTTTTTAACACCGTAAGTTTTAAACATCAGTGAATCAATTTCATTGACTAAAACGAATAGTGAGTGATAGATTATTGATTTAATTTGATACTCTTATTCAATATACCGACATAACTTTATACGGAATCGTATTCAAAAAAATTCAAGTCTCTGTATAAATGAACAGGTTAGCGGAAATTGAGGATTATCATTATTTTCAAGTTCAGTCGACTCATAAAGACGTAAACTCTTTTCGGAATGGTGGAGATGGTGGTAAATTCTTTTCACTTGATATAAACCATCTTCAAAGTATTAATTACTTTAAAAACTGACTTACCAAATATAAGGTTTAAGTACATTACTGATACGTAATGAAACTTTAGGAATACTACTTGGTAAACCCTGAACTATGGAATCAGTCATACCCCAATAAAGGATATTAAACTGTATGTACGTTTTAATGCAAATCGACTACAGTTCGATATGATGAATATATGATAGTGTTCTGACAACGGTTAGTGGTTTAGCACTTGTTTAAGCTTCACTGATGAGTACGCATTCCTGCACAAAGTCTCGAACTATGACAAAATGATCACCGATTCCTGACTGGTTTTCAATGACTTTCTAGACAAAATCATTTGCAGCAAAAAAACTATTCTTTAAATTCGTAGTACATTGTACTCTATTAAACTGTTTTATTATTGATTAACTGGATTCGAAGAGACTAGACAGTACTGAGTTATAAATTTCTTAAGAATATTAATGTGATTTGTTCCTAAAAACAAAATCAGGAACAAACTGTGAAAGTATTATACAAAAATTGTATACTTAAGTTTTAAGTATACAAAACAGATTATTTTATGTTACATTACTCGGTTTTCACTCATCCATTTGGATAAATAGAGTTTTGGCATTATATCTGATGTCAGTTCGTGATGAAAACCCTGAAATCTAATTTCTAACTTTAATCATCAACTGTAAATCATAATTCGAATTCCTCACACTAATTTCTAACTCTCATTTGGTCCTGGTTATTAAGTGGACATTCTCAAGGTTAGTGTAGCGTCGTTCAAAGGTCGTCCATAAATTATAGTCTCACGGAATCGAAATAATTCACTTGCCAGAAGTAATTTCCCTAAAACATTTTCATAAATGATTTAATCAAACTATGTTTATTTGATTTCCAAATAAGCAAAGTTAATTATATAACCAGTTAAACATATAAACAATTAGAGAATTAACTGAATCATAGGAATACTGTGTAAATCATATATTTTTCCATTACTGAAACTCAACTAAGTAAGTTTATTGTTTCAATCAACAAACTGATAATTTTCATCCATAGATGTTAATGAGAGAGAAAAAAAACGGTTATTAAATGAAACCGCCCACTTACTTCACATAATAAAAGTATGAATGAGATATACGCTGCTATATCAACGTAATATGTTAAAAGTTGATGTAATGGTTTCAAGCATCCATTATGTATATTGGAATTTCTAAAACTGTTAGGACATGTATCACCTTGTATTTCAAGATTATCTTTAAATTGACAACATGGTAATGGATATCTCAAATGTGTATCTATTTACAGATAACAGAAAGAGTAAAATAAAAGAAAGAAAAAAAAACAAACATAATCTATATACTAGTATAGTTTTTGATTGAGATCATGAACCGATTGATGTTAGACCACCACAATTGAAAACCTGGAAGCACTGGACGGCCGTTTCGTCCTATTGTGGACTCCTCAGCAGTGCGCATCCACGATCCAGGGCCTTCGGTCTCGCGGGCAGACGCTTAACCAACTGGACCACTGAGCCGGCATCCAATGGTGATAGTTTCTAACATCAACCAATCCACGAAATTGCGCGACCAACTTCCATTGTACTGAGGTAGATACCTGTCTCTACCCGACAGACATGGTCTAACATCAATCGGTTCATGATCTCAATCAAAAAAATAATCTATATACTTTTAAATTTTAAAGACTTTAATAAAGATCAATCATAATTGGCATTTTGTTTTAAATCGTTTTTGGCGCAAAATATAAACAAAAGTTTATAGACATTTTAATTGATGTTTATCAGTAAAATAGATAGCTGATTTGTTAACCTAAAGGAATTGATCTTTTAACTATATCCTATCAAACGGTAAACATTAGTGCTGAATTATTTTGGTTATAAAAATGATAATCCAACACTAAACAGCTGAAATTTCATTTTGAAAAGAGTAAAAATAAAAGATTCTAACAGAATAGCATGATCAGAAGGGGTTTGTGGAGATTTTAGAAATTTCACAGATTGAAATCATGAGTCAATTGAGGAGTTCCATACTAGAACGAAACGGCCGTCCAGTGCTTCCAGGTTTTCCATGGTGGTTTAGCTTCAATTGACTCATGATTTCAATCTGTGAGAATAGCATGAATTCATTTTATTTGATTTGGCTCTCGTCAGCTACTTACAACTTGTGATATCTAAAAGTCACAGTTACATAATGGGTCTAAATTACATGAAAGAGTTTGGTTGGAAGTTATATTAAAGACACATTAGTCTAGTAGAGCAAGAGTGTAAGTAAATTGAACAGACTGAATGTTGTAAATATATGTACCTTATGTAAAAGAACATTCTACAACATTGATTATGACAACATTGATAGGAATATAGTGAATAGAGCTCAGTTAATTAAAATAAGATTAATAATTTGGAAGATAGTTGAAATAAAACTCAATGATGCAGTCAATGCAAGAAAGAGTTTAAAGAACAAGAAAAAACATTTTAGGATGTAGCGAAGAAATATTTATCATCAAAGCAAGGGAAGATTATTAACCATTTCCTTTTGAACACATAAGTTTGATTTTGGACGCCTGATAGCAACGGCTTCAGCAAACTTCAGAAGACTGAAGTTTGGCTGCTTACTAATCACCATGAAAGATTGAAAGGTATCTACCTGATGCCCTCTATCCAAGAGGTGTTTGGTGACTGCACTGTTTAGAGTCTTTCTTTCTCTTGTTCTGAGGCTTTTTGGAACATGTTCAAGAAATCTAAGATATTTCTAAACAAACATTTAGACGAGTGCCAAGCAGCACGAAACCTTGGTCCAGGGTTTCCTATTGACTACCTCCAACAACCATCTCATCTCAACATAGTGCACACAATGTCGTGTCACCTAGACTAGTGACCACATTGCAACTTGGTCGATAGCATTCGATCAACACTAAGAAGGACTTGACACACATGACATTGATCACCACCCAGCGATCAATCAATTGTGATAAAAAAAGCTGTTTAGATGCTCATTAGATGATGATTCACAAGATGTCACAAAATCAATCTATTAATAGTTTTTGAATAATAATAATAATTAAGTATAAATCAAATCAAAGATGCATAGTGGCTAGCCGTGGAATCTAGTTTGACGGGTGTTTTGTCCTATTTGGGACTCGTCAGCCAGATGTACCTCCATCACAGAGTTGATGTTCACTCTGGATACATCCAGCTGACGGGTCCCAAATAGGACGAAACACCCGTCAAACTAGATTCCACGGCTAGCCACTATGCATCTTTGCTTGGAATGCTCGTAAATTAAGGCAATATCGAAGCAGTCCGCATAGTGTGTACACATGCCAACATCAGACTGATCAATTGCAGTCCTAAATAACAATGACAAGATATGAGTAAACAACATCAGGTGAATTTATAAATTAAATCTTTAAAGTTTAATTTACATGTTACACCATTCCAAACATCCGTCCTGTTAAATTTAACTGGGTGGTAAAAATCACTTCCATTTCGGGCTCCACAACAATTTAACTGAAAAAGAACAGATTAAAAATCTGAACGGAAATTGACAAAAATTATTTACAAATTCGATAATATCTTAATCAAACTACAATCGTGAAGTTTACTAGTGAATAGCTTTCAAATGGATTATTAACGTTCAGTTAACAAGCCTTGACTAATGAACTACATTTATAAGACAATAATCTATCAATAATTTTGGTTGATTACTGTCGTATATCATGAAGTGACTGAATTGTGAAAAGCAAAATAATGAATTCCAATTGAAAGACTTCACTATGTTGTGCTGGTTGTGATAACCAAATACATTGAGATTTGAGATGGTGGAGAAGATTTGTAGCTCATGTGGATGATTTTGGTGGAGTTTTGTTCTCTGAGCTGGATGGTTGGATGGATGATTTCAATATGTTTGTTGATTGCTGACTGACCTGAGTGCCTGGCTTCTAAAAATTCTCTGGTGTTTTTGGAGTTTCCTCTGTCTAAGATTTCTACATATGGAGAAATTCGAACTCTTCACTTCTATCTGAAGTTTGTGCTGATGATGTCGTTCAGAAGAACGATGAAAGCTCCACGACCAAACTATCCAGCTCAGAGAACAAAAATCCACCAAAACATTGAGATTCGATTGCACATCATTTAGTTCTGTGTTTTATTTTTAAAATACGATGTTTGTTTTCTATCGAAGCTATTCGGTTTTTCTAAGGTTTACAAATCATTCTCCAGGTGATAGATGTTTATGATACAACTTATTTTGAACTTTATGAACACTTTATAACTATAAAGACCATTATTACTGTAAGTGTTACCAACGGTTCATAAATGTACAGTTGTGCATAGATGACAGTTTTGCATGATTAGTAAAATTTAAATGTAGGCTGCTATTACTGAATGAATTATCCATTTAGCCAAGTTCACTGCTCACATCTTTTAAAACACTAATAAATCTTTAAAAGTTACATAGAATATTTATTTGGAATTTAACAGCACAATAACTTCTCTTGAAGTTTTATTTCGGTACCTGCTTCGGTTTGGGCACCCGGGTAGTATCTCAGCCTTCACACAAATCGAATGACTTATGTGATGCATATCTATTCAGTGCCTCCTTGTACTAATGATTATGTGTTTAGATAAAAATAAATAATTACGTTTACTTGGGTGACTCAAATGTTTCGAAGTAACTGTAGTGGCTGGACTACACTGAATCAATTCAGTTTATAATCTAAATCACTGACTGATTATCGTTAGACAAATATTAAAAACTAGGAAGCAATTGACACATGTATAGTCTCAATGTGAGATTATTCAGAAGTGAGGATGCACAAAATCACTAGAGATCAACTTAATGCTCTTAAAGCCTCAAGACAAGCAGTTAACTTTCAGATCATTGAGTTGATCTCTAAAGGATTGGATTTCTAACTTCAGTCACTTCGATCCCAGTAGTGGTAGTAGGTGAACATTGTTGAAATATTCCGAAATAAGACAAAATAACTGTCCATTGTTTTCTTATTTACAATGGTTATCTGAATAAAATTACTCAGTGACATAAATAATCTTTACAAACCTCTTATATTAACAAATATAATAATAAGTCTGATAAATGCTATTCTATTTTTGTAAAAAATAAACACCTACCTTCATCATGATAAGACCCATTAAGATACTATTCGGATCACCACTGGAAATACTTATATAATCATGAATTGAATAATTCAAAAACTGAATGAGGAATGTATGAGGCTGTTATAATATATACAAAAGGAAAAATAAAAGGAAAACTATGTAGATGATTAAGATCAAACTAAATCCTGACTGAATTCATCGTGATCACTGAACAATGGGACATTTTGGTTTAAAAAAGAGTTTATTGATTAAAACAAATTTCTTTAAATTTAAAGTTCCCGTAGATAATGGAATCCTGTGACAGGTTAAAGGAATATGTATATAGTAGTGGACATTTTCATTCTGAGTAGCAATAGAGACCTATTTTAACTTGCATTGTCATCCTGGACAATGACGATCAATGTTCTTCAATTAAACCGTTTAACTAAAAGAGCATAACAATGGTCGAAACATCATAGCTGAGCTAAAAATCTTCTTCATCATCTAAGAGTAATGATATAACTTTTTTATGTACATAGGAGTAAAAAATTGAATTTTTGATATTTCATAAGTTCATGCGCGGATCGGTAAAGCAAGAGTAGCATATCTACAACTGAAGAACATCTACAACTCAAAACAATTGTCTGTCAACCAACAACAAATTCAGAATTTTCAATACAAATGTCAAGACAGTTCTACTGTATGGGGCGGAAACTTGGAGAACTACGAAAGCTAACATCCAGAACATACAAGTGTTTGTTAACAGTTGTCTACGCAAAATACTTCAAATCAGTTGGTCAGACACTATCACCAACATCCTATTGTGAGAGAAAATAAACCAGATATCAGTGGAGGAAGAAATCAAGAAGAAGCGTTGGAAGTAGACAGCACCTAACCGCGTTACAAGACAACTCCTCAATTGAGATCCTCAAGGCCAAAGAACACATTACGCGAGAAATGGAGACAGACATGAGAAGAATAAACAAGAATTCGATAGAACTAGAAAGGAAGGCCCAGGTCAGAGTGGGTTGGAGAATACTGGTCGTCCGCCTATGTTCCATCAGGAGTAACAGGCTTAAGTATGTGAGTAATCATTTCTTTACTATAATTGAGCACTTAGTACTGAATTGAGTATTCCTTATTATTACCATTAGTTATTATTATTACCACATATACGATATTAAGTTCTGTTTACTGGTATTTTATCCCAGTCGTCTTCTAACTAGTACACATATATGGCGCAACAGAATACTGAGTAATATTGGGATCAGCGTACAGTACCTGACGTAGATTTTATGTCTTTCATAATGCTGTGAATTTCTATTGACCAACGAGGCTTTGCATGCATGAAGCACATACCAGTCACTAGTAACTGTGAACGTACAATATTTGTTAGAATGACAGTTCATCAGAATATATATATATATATATATATATATATATATATCCAAAAAATTTACTTATGGTATAATAGAATAGTTTACTGATTACCGTAAAATGATAATAATTGAGTTTGATTTAAAGAATGGGGTTATTAATCTACAGAGGTTTAATAATACTGTGGTGCATGCTATTTATGTCTGTCGACATAAATAGTATGTAACACCAATCAGAACTGAAATGTATGACATCAAAAGGCTAAGAAGTTTGAATTGAGAAAAACAGAAAAAGAAATAGGAAGGAATTGTGAATTGTAAGAATCAGATAGAATATAAAGGACAATTGATGGAAGGTTTGCAACAAAGCATCTAATGTACAGTTGTCATATTCTGTAATTTCATACATGAAATAATAAATTAATTGTCCCCACCTGAGTTCTCATCCACTACAATATAAGTGAGACTATAATTTATGGACGACCTGTGAGACTGACCTTGAGAGTGTCCACTTAATAGTCAGGACCAAATGAGGGTTATTAACCAGTGTGAGAAATTACAATTATAATTTACAGTTGATGATTAAAGTTAGAAATTAGATTTCAGGGTTTTCATCACAAACTGACATCAGTTAAAATGCCAAAACTCTATTTATTCAAATGGATGAATGAATTTCACGCCAAAATCCGAGACCTATTATCTTAAACGTGATTGGTTCGTTCATAAATTACAGTCTCGCCAGTAAAGCTTGTATTCATCAAAAGGTTTGCTTTGAGTCTCGTCATTACCGTTGATAGTGAAGTAGATCACAAAGATGGAAAGAGACGGAAGATACACAGAGAGAAAGGGAGAGAATATTAATATTCATTATGTGTACATTTGAAAATATGATACTGTGTAAATAATAACAATTGACATCATCAGAATTGATGCCGAATCGTTTCATATTTATTTATTTGTTTAATTTACAAAAAAAAGAAGATCAGTTACATCAACCTGTATGTTCTCATCATACATTTAATAAAATTTATTTAAGGAATTCATTGCCTTCATCTTAATGTAGAAGTTAAATGGTTGATTGCATTAAGCTAATCTATTGTCTTCAAATCATTGAAAGAAATCTTAAGTCATTCAGTGATATAAGGCATAGAACATTATACACTGTGATCCATAAAGTTTAATTAGTACTATGGTCAGGGTATAACATTAGTTACTAACATGTGGTATAAGAATCTATCTGTACGATCGATGTCGAATCCTTTCCAATAGTTGATTTGTAGAAAAACTTTAAACTGTTGTTCATACTAAATTCACTTGGTGTCGTTTTTACTTGTATCTTCCCATTGTTATTTAAGACAGTAATTGATCAGTCTCTCGTCGGCATATGTGAATCCTATGCGGACTTCTTCAATACTGCCTTAGATCACAAGGTTTCTAATCACAGATGGATAGTTGTTCATACTAATTATTCTTATTCTTAACAAAATATCGTATAAAGGGGTTTCTCAAATGACTAGTTTTCGCGATGTGAACCATCAAAACTACGAATTATTGTAATCGTAAAGCAGCCGAAATGGTTTGGTTTTGAGCTCCTATGGTGTAAATGTGTCATTCATCCTTATCGGTTCAACACTACAAGTAAACTCAATAATTCTTGAATCTCAGTAATTCTTCAAGTGAATATCAAAATGTGACGAAATTCAAAGTACGTAGTTGAACTCTAAGAGCTTATAGAATCATTGATTCGTGTCTTTTACCAACTCTTTTTCAAAATCACTTTGATGACATTGCTCAGAATAGGTCACTATAACAAAGATATATTCAATATTTGAATAAAAATGTTTTTGCTTGTGCTTCTCGAATAAAAATGTTCACCCCCCCATCGTTTCTATTACTCTCGATAATGTTATTCCTTCTACTACCATGTAATTTTCCTACATAGTTTTATCATCTTGTTCCGAAGTTGTGGGGCAACGTGAACCGATGATAATAAATGTCAGGTCCTGAGTTATAAGTGACTGACTAATTAAGAGTCAATGTGAATATCTATTAAGAATTGGAACTAAATAACAAGTAAAATACCAATAATAATTATTTGTGGAATCACAATAATAACTGTGGGCAAAAGTGAAATTTTGATTTCGGTCATCAGTAACATTATATTTAGACTCGGTTACTTTCATTTATGCTATGACTATTACTCACATTACTACTATTACTAATGCTACTAATATTACTACACTGACTTCCTTTTCATCCAAATTATCAGTTTTATCTCACTATGCCAATGTAAAATATGATAACTTAAATTGATGCATATTTGCCTCAGGCCGCACTGTGATTATGATTATATTATTGAAACAGTAGCAATGGTTATTGTGCGCTTTAAAATTTAATAGCCCAAGAGGTAAATTACAACCCAGACACTGTTTAGAAGAGCTAAAACCCACTGTAGTACTTTCTTCATTGAAGAAGCACATTTTCCATAAGAATGGCTATACCTACAACCTTGTCAAAAGATGTTTATATAATAATATTACAAAACCGACCCCGGACAACAAGAAAAACAGATCCCACTATCAGATGTGAGTAAGGTCTCCGAAACCATTACAAGGATTCTGAAGGTCTTTAGGATCTACGTTGTTTACTAATCAGCACAATCACTTCATTCTGCTTTATGCATATCAAAATACATAATTAAAAATCTATAAATAAAATGATACAAACTGTGATAAATATTGCATTGAACAAAACAAGCGTTCATTTCATCTAGGCAGAAATGAACATGGATTAGCTGTGAAACATCATGGTATGCTACCACTGAAATCAGTGTATTCAAACAACAATGGACATGAATTTGTTTCATGAAATATTGAAATTCTGATAGGGATACTCTGAGAGTTTTAGAGGATTCTTAGCAGCATAACCTTCAGATGAATTAGCAACTAACAGGCTCATCGATGTAAAGTCAACTAATCACCAAGTCAAAGATCAACCAATAAAGACAGTCAACGTGAATACAAGTACAAATGAAGTCAGGATGATCAAAAATAGTAATTGAGGAATAAGTGAAAATCTCAATTTTTGCATAAAATAAGAGATCGAATCATCTAGCTGAGAGACATATTATTCAATAGGAAAAGAAAAAAAGTTGATATTGTTTCTTTTTTTATATTTTCATGACTTACGACTTGTTTTCTTGCAAAATAAACGATCAATATAATGATATGTGTAATAATGATGATAGAAATGGCTGTAATGTACTAAAATTTAAAAAAAAAAGATTAAACCAGATTTTAGACCATTCTTGTTGATATAGCAACAAAAGAACCCCTCACATATGTATATGAAGTTTAAGAAAATGGTTACATAATCTGAAGAGTTGACTAATTATATTTTGTCTATGTATTATTATTTCTGAAAAGGCACAGTTGTTATATTATCTGTATTGAATTGCTAGAGATTACAACTTACAAATTAGTTACCTATCAACGTTGATCCATCCAATTATTATCAATGGATATCATATCATTATTAACAATATTGGAGGAGAAATAGATGTGATCGATATTAATGGATGATAGTCACCGATTGAAATTTGAAATCTAAACTGTTAAATCATTAAAAGAATTTGTAAAGTAATATCTTGTAACTTATTCTGCTTAAATATGAATTTAGCTTTCTTTTGCTCAGTTTCCATTATTGTTAGCCACCAGTTGCTGTTTCTTTTTGCGCTTAGAAACACTCTGTTATCCTATTAATTCACTTACGTTTTAGTACATTATTTTGTTATTCTGTGCCTAACAGTATTTATATATGAGAGTTGTACGCTAGGTAATCTTAAAAGACTGATTAACATCACCAACGGTAGGATTCAAACTACTTTTGCAAATCAATGACTCTTGATTCTTGTTGGTGGAGTAAATATTCTGAACAATGCATAACTTCTGTCTCCAGTTCACGAGTGGGATACATGTTATAACTTGTAGCCTTGTGCCCTAATAATATATGATGTAATGATACCGCCAATTAGAGAACAGTGATTTATCGACTGGACCAATCACTCATAAAACCCGTATGAGGAGTCTACAGCCCTTATCGGTCCATCTTCCTACCTAGCCATGCCTGTTGAGTCCAGAACACCAATCCACAGTTCCGCTATATGAATCATGTATTTCAAACATACTGGGCTTATGTATAAACCAGACAGACCACATCACAACACCACAAAATAGAAAACAACATCTGTACGCAATCTAGCCAGAAGTGGCTGTGAATGTGGGAGACTGTAAGTACTAGACTGGGTATAACTCAAGAACGGTAAATCGTATAATAAAAGTTCATGGGTCAAAATAAATCTTTTACACAGAGGAACATGAATATGTATAGTTAGTTACTTAACCATTATACAATAAAAATATATGTATAGTATTAGACCATAAATAGATCCTAACAGTCACCATCCTTTATTCTAGTCGGGATATAACAGTACACTTTTTTATTGTTACTAAGTCAGCGTTCGGAATTGTTCATTTGATACGCAAACGTATCAAGTATCATGTTGGCTGAAAGACAACGTTTTTCGTTCAAATTCTAAAGGTATTGTGGAGGACCATAGAATTCGACGAAATAACCATCAAGCACTCTCTGGTTTCTAAACATTACGCTGTTAATATCATCCTGTAAACCTCCTGTTTTATTAAGTATTTAACACTTGGTTACGTTTTATATCATTACATACTAATTAACAATGAAGCATAAGTAATAATATGTTGTTCATTATTTCATTAGACTAAACAATATACTTACAATTTTTAAACATAATGAACTTTTACAACATGATCCCAAAATTCCAGCGATACAAATTATAAGTATAATCAAACCAATAGCAAATATAGGTCGACTGTAATGACCTGATAAAAACAAAAAAATATATTAAAATGAATGTTAGATTAAACATTGATCTATTTTTGTAGAACTATACTTATGTAAAAGCGTAACAAAAGTTATATGGTGTAAAGTAGTAGTTCGCTGATACTCAACTCAATGTTATTTTGTTTTATTCCAACAGTTGCTAAGATTAACTCATCAATCATTTTTGTAAAGCAACAATCAGTAGCTAAGCGAGGAGTCAGATGACCAGAAGAAAGATTGTACTTCTTGGGCAGTTCTCAATAAAAAGGTTTCTGTCCTCTCGAAAAAAACCCGCATTCTTAAAAAATCAATTAATTGTTTGGTTTAGTACTTGCTGCTAATGGAATAAAAGATGGAAAATAATATTGAAAATTAAAGTCCAAATAGTAATACAAAATGAAGATATCTGTCCATTGGTGATTTATTTTGAGCCTTACCATCTTCTTTTTTCAACCATAAACTATAATTACAACGTAAACCCTGAGCACAAAGTTCATACCTTCATCAGTGACACTTAATTAAAGACATTCACGATCACATTAACAGAAGTGTGAATATCGATCCTGACTTCAAACTACCGTTTCACAGTTAAGAAGTAACACAAAACTAATTGCTGAGTAACACAGTGGCTCTTTGATTGACAGATGTATGTTTTGCTTCTGCCATAGATAAACCGTGGTAACAAGTATAATCTCACAGTAATCTTTTAACCACCCTATTCATCACTGTAAAGACAAAAGCTGTATTATCTTACCATAGATGAATAAATTATGTTTAATTGTGTGAGTTCCCACTTCTTCCATTAGATGTAAGACGTATGATATCGAACCATATAACACGTTGGATGGAATTCTTCATAATTTGTATGATAAACAGCAGTTCAGTCCAATGGATTATCTTGCTACATCTATCCCATTTTTGATTACTCAGTGTATCTCATTCAAAAAGTCATTCAACTTTATGAACCTGAATAAATATTTCAATTCTAGATAAAGGCATTCATTCAATCATTTGATTAGTGGTCTTATCTTTGAAAGTTAGTTTAATTGGTATTTTGAGATCGATTTCGCTAAAAAAATTATTGATCCCGTTCCAACTGCTTGAATCGTTCCATTACAATAATAATACCGATATTAATACAACTACTGATATTAATTATATTATGACTGAATATGCTAGAAAGAGTAGATCTGTAGTTTATTGTTTGACTACTTCCCTTATCTTGGAAGTTTTATAAGCCTTTTTGGGATGGTGTCTGATTAAATCTTGGCATGGATTCGAAATGCCATCTTGGCCTCCGATAATTCAAGTCACTTTAGGATCAGGCTAGACTTCTATTTGCCAACCAAAAGAGAAGCTTACTGTGCGGACGTTCACCTTGTTCTATTTTATGGATGTGAAACGTACTCTCTAAAAATAAACAGTATTGTAGGCTACTAGTGTTTAATCAAACGTCTTCTAAGCATTGTTTGAGTACGTTGGGACCATTTACTGAACAATTTTGAGGATAATAGATGAATGTAGTAAATCGGTTGATAAGATTGTGAATGTTCATCAACTGAGATCGTTAAGACATGTACTAAGTATGTCCCTACGTTGAAGCTTGATGTTCCCTTGTGTAAGAATAATTCGGGAGAAAACCGTGGGCTCCCAAATCAAGACATATTATCGGTATCAGTTAATGTTAAACTAAGTCATTTTGTATCAGAACTTTAGTCAAAATTTGAACGAATAGTTTAACAGTATCTGGGTGCTGTGTTAATGTAAAACACTAAAAAGAAAGAATATTTTTGTAAAATTTCAGCCACTGAATTTTAAGTAAATCTAGCGTTTCGCTCAGAAAACTGGTTCAAGCTAATTCAAGGAAACATAACCGAACATCAGAATTATTGAATATAAATAAATGCGTGGTTCTCCGGTTAACTGTGTACTAAATAGGTCACCCAATCATGTTAGCAATGTTTAAAATAAGTATTTGCTGTAGAGCATATGAGAAATGTAGCGTGTAACGAAAAGTCATTTTGGTAAGTGTAAACTACCTGGTTGTGATCCGAGCAATTATCATATCTGATGGCTTTGAACTTTTGGTGACATGACTCAGAATCAGTTTCAGTGTCCCAGATGCATTCATTCATTTTCTTCACTAAAATATACTTTAAACCTTTTATTCTACTACCTTAGTATATATCAAGATGATTCCATCTCACTGAGCTTATGTTGTCTGAAAACTTGAACCGATGCATATATATGACATTTCATACGCTGCTCACGACTGACTGACTGACTGATTGGTTTAGTAGCTAAAGCACTCAGCTTCGAACTAATAAGTTACAGGTTTAAACATTACTTCATTTATTTCCATTTTAACCACTGTTTAGCATAATTAATTACATTTTAATTATAGTGAATATTCCCATTTTGCCATTTGTCAAATAAAGAAGGACCGAATTGAGCGAAGAAATTTCTTTTCAATTAGTTTTTCATCATGGCTCTACACTAATATATATACGTTTTACAATAATGATATAGTACTCATCGAGTGGATATGTTACGTAATAATTACATAATGACATTTAAATTAACATTGAGTAATTGGAAGAAAGAGGATTATTAATAATCAAAGTAATTATTCAAAATCAAGACGTTGCTACGTTGCGTAATATATGAAAAATAGAGAAAGAACAGAATTTTTTAATGGATAGTCAATAGAATAGTAGTTACGTAAGTATCAAGAGATGAATGTTGAGAAGTTATAAAGTTCAAAAGTAACAGAAACAAAAAAAGACAAAAAACAAGTGAAAGAAGTATGCAAAATAGTTCTTTTGAAGGAAATCTTAAACTGATGGCTAGGGCAGAGAAAGTGGTTGTACGAATCTCTTTTGAATGCAAAGGTCAGGTTTGTGAATATGGATTGCGATGGCTTCCGCAATGTGCAAGAGGCGCACTCGTAAACCATGTGGCAAATTTGATGGGGTATTGTAGATAACCTTAAAAGCTTTATTCAATTCAACTTGATGACCTGTGTCAACCAAGTGAGAGAGAATAGAACTTTTAATCACTTTTACCTGTCCTTTGCTTATCCATGACGGATGATGTTCTGTAATACGATGATGGACTTGCCGAATTATACGCCCAATATAACTGGCTCCACAGGAGCAGTTGAAACGATAGATACACATAGATTTGGCGAATTCAGGCAGTCTGTCTTTATTGGCTGTTCTTATTTTGGGATGGTTGTAGAAGATGGCATTTAATCTGGCAGCATTAAATGGTTTTTGTACGGCTCTTCTTAGTTTATGAGTCAAGATTTCTTCAATGGTGTCATTTATGAATAGTACCTTCTTAGGGACGGTGGGTATCTTTGTTCTTGTTTTCTTGAAATTTCTTCGCTCAATTCGCTTTTTCTTTATTTACCAAATGGCAAAATGGGAATTTTCACTATATTGAAACGTTCTGAGCAAACATTTGCGTTAAAGGTTCTCAATGAGTATCTGAAGTATAGCGCAAGGCTCAGTGAGGCGATGACAAATGTTGATTTTATAAAGAAGTGCATAGAAACCAACTTGTATCCAAAGTTGTATTGGAAATCTTTACGTCGCTCTCGAGTTCTACCAAATGGAAGGACTCTCAAACGCTACGCCCTTAACCAAATCGATTCTTTAAACTCATACATTGCCGAGATGGTAAAAAATATCAACGAGAGAATTTACACGCTAGAAGATCTCTCTGATAAACTAAGAGAACAATATATGGACTATGTCGAGATGGTTGTTAACTCAAGAAAGGAAAAGAAAAGAATGAAACAAGAACAAAGATACCCACCGTCCCTAAGAAGGTACTATTCATAAATGACACCATTGAAGAAATCTTGACTCATAAACTAAGAAGAGCCGTACAAAAACCATTTAATGCTGCCAGATTAAATGCCATCTTCTACAACCATCCCAAAATAAGAACAGCCAATAAAGACAGACTGCCTGAATTCGCCAAATCTATGTGTATCTATCGTTTCAACTGCTCCTGTGGAGCCAGTTATATTGGGCGTATAATTCGGCAAGTCCATCATCGTATTACAGAACATCATCCGTCATGGATAAGCAAAGGACAGGTAAAAGTGATTAAAAGTTCTATTCTCTCTCACTTGGTTGACACAGGTCATCAAGTCGAATTGAATAGAGCTTTTAAGGTTATCTACAATATCCCATCTAATCTGCCACATGGTTTACGAGTGCGCCTCTTGCACATTGCGGAAGCCATCGCAATCCATGTTCACAAACCTGACCTTTGCATTCAAAAGAGATTCGTACAACCACTTTCCCTGCCCTGGCCATCAGTTTAAGATTTCCTTCAAAAGAACTTTTTTTCATACTTCTTCCATTTTCTTAAAAACTTTTGTAATTTTATTTCTGTTACTTTTGAATTTAATAACTTCTCAACATTCATCTCTTGATTCTTACGTAACTACCATCCTATTGACCATCCGTTAAAATTCTGTTCCTTCTTTGTTTCTTACATTACGCAACTTAGCAACTTCTTGATCACTTTGAATATTAATAATCCTCTTTCTTCCAATTAATCAATGTTAATTTAAATGTCATTATGTAATTATTACGTGAGTGATGAGATCAATGCACGAATAGTGAAAGCCAGAGCGGCTTATGCCAATCTGAGTGTGTGTGATGAGTGAGTGATGAGATCAATGCACGTATAGTGAAAGCCAGAGCGGCTTATGCCAATCTGGGCCATCTATGGCGCCTTCGTGATGTTAGTCTGGCCGTAAAAGGTCGGATCTACAACGCGTCGGTGAGAGCAGTTTTGCTCTATGCTTGTGAAACCTGGCCTCTCCGAGTTGAGGACGTTAGACGACTCTCTGTGTTCGATCATCGCTGTCTCCGAAGGATTGCTGACATTCAGTGGCAACACCATGTCAGTAATGCAGAGGTTCGGCATCGTGTGTTCGGGCACAGAGATGATAACTCAATTGGTGTCACCATCTTGAAACACCGACTTCGGTGGCTTGGACATGTTCTCCGAATGTCGTCCCAGAGAATTCCACGTCGTGCATTATTTGCCGACTCTGGGACTGGTTGGAAGAGGCGGAGAGGTGGTCAGTGCATGACATGGTGTCGTGGCATGAAAGAAAGCTGCAAAGGACTGGCTTGTGTTGGTCCTTCACGACTCCCTGGTTGGGGTCCGAGAGATGGTGCTACACAGTGGCTAGAGACGTTATCAGATATGGCTCAGAATAGAAGCCAGTGGCGATCCTGCTGTAACCTTCTTTTACTTTCTTTCTAAAAAGTGGTTGTGTCTCCTTTACCTGAAAGATTTCTTCTGATTGTACCTTTTCGTTCCGTCGTTACTACCACACTACCTTACTCCAATCTCTTCGTCATTGTTCTCTTTTTCTTTTGCGTTCCCTAGTTTTTTTTTCTTTCTATTTCTCTTCGAATTTTCATTGTTTTGTGTGGCGCATATATATTGGCGCTCTCTTGTACCAATATTTATGTGTTCAAATAAATAAATAATTATTACGTAACATATCCACTCGATGAGTATTATATCATTATTGTAAAACGTATGTATATTAGTGTAGAGCCATGATGAAAAACTAATTGAAAAGAAATTTCTTCGCTCAATTCGTTCCTACATTTTAATTAGTTCTAGAAAAAGCAACTTACCACTCATTTTTAATGTGGCATCAGCAATAGTTTGTTCAATGGATGAATTTGATAAATTCATTTTCTCAAGATATCTACCCCATATTTCACCAAATGTTCGTGTAGTTGCAGATTTTGAAAAGGTCATTAAACCACCAAGTATAGCTAAGGCTAATCCAACTATCTACAGGATTGAATAGAAATAAATTAAAAATAGAATAAATTATACTATGAAGCTTTTAAAACAAATAATTCATCATTGTATCATTGAGTCAAATACATGAGTGATGATTTTAATTGTCGATTTAGAAGCGGTATTCTCTGCAGTAAACAAACTTTCAATACTTCTACAAAGATTGAATAGGAGAAAATAATATCACCTATTCACCCACCATCCCCTACTTAGTTACGCCCGTTACCCTCGTGGAGGAGCATAGGCCACCTATCAGCATTCTCCATAGAACTCTGTCTTTTCCAGTTGCGATTAATCGTTTTTATGTCTGCTTCCAATTCCAGACGCAGTGTATTCTTCGACCTTCCTCTTTTTCGTCTCCCTTCAGCACTTCAAGTGAGCACTCGCCTCGTGATGCAGTTTGATGATTTTCGAAATGTATGTCCTACTCAATATCCACGTCGATGATACTGTGCGTGTACGTGAAATTTTCTACCTGTTCGAGAGTTTCTCCATCGAGTGTGATTTGGTCGGTTTCTCCCTGTTGTATTCGAGGATCTTCGTTTTTTTCCTTGTGTATGTTGAGGCTTATTGTTGCATAGGCTGCTGCTACACTGGTTAATTTATCATCTCATGGGAAAATAATTTCAGACCAACACAGAACATTCGCATACTGTTTAGAAGTCTAAAATTAGAATAAACTAATCATGTAGTACATTCTAGTTCTTGATGTTCTATCCCACCCTAGCTTTTATCAGTCAACCGGATTCCACCACAATATACTTTTGGTTAATAAAATCAGCTTATTCCTTTCCTATAATCCTTTATAAATTTATAAAACTTTTGTCATAGTTAGCGTCATTTAAGCTGGAAATATCCAATTAATTAAGAATTAGCATACTGAATGTCTAATCGATAAGCTAATAATGATAATCACTTTTATTATTATTGTTACCCAGTAAAACAAGTATAAATGAAGCTTATTTAAGTATGATCCAATCATATGTTATCCAATCTTTCGGTAGAAATTTTACATTAAACATTATGGTGTCTTAGTAAAAGAGTTGATAAATCACCAGTTTCAATTAATGGTTCTCTATTATGATAAATTGATGTACTATCGAGCATCGTTTATTTGTTTATCATAGATGAGAATGAATAACGGAAAGTAAACACCAATACTTCGTAATCATCTGAGTAATTTCTAATGTAACATTTTATACACTGTGTATAACCAAAGTATACAGCTGTACATGTGCTGACACGAACACATTCGTGGCATTTACTTAAAAAATAGCTTTGATTCATGTAATATAGGGTTACAGTAACTCGAACAGAGTGGTCAAAATATTCACATTTTCTTTCATAGCTTAGGCTAACAGTCTGAAGGATTAGATTCATGACAATCTGACTGCTCTTAACCTCCTATTTTATCTATTTCTATATTTGTCAGTAACTCATGTGCTCATAGGTAGTTCTTCAACGAGTTTGACACTTATCCCACTTGATAGCTAGCATTGGAATCCAAGACGTGAGTTTCACTTTATTATGGACTCGTCAACTAAGCATTCTTGCATTACAGGGTTGATATTCACTCTGAGACTCGAATTTCACTCCAAACATTGTCATGCTATCCACTTAGCTACCTGTCCCAATTATCTCAAAACAAACCCATTGAAACATCAATTATTGCCTAAAACACATAGTATACATGCAAAATGGTCAACTATTTGCAGTCTTATTATGTTCCCAATCCTCAGTTTTAATACACTACAGCAATGGGTTCATCATTTCATAACGACAATGAAAAATGTCTTTTCCATAACTCAAAATCAGAAATATATTGTATTCACTTACCCCAACTATAACGTTCACAGAAAACAATACAAGTGTAAATAGTATGTTTGCCATTATTTAATCTAGATGAATGTAATAAAATGTCATTTATATTAATATTTGTAAAAACAATAAACATGATAGAATAAAATCTTAATTCAAAAAGGGGAAATGGACCGCAGTAGCATAGAATACATTCAAGCTCGAATAAAAAAATCTTTACTATCGAATAAATTCAACTGCGATCCCTTTAACAAAAACACTTAAACAATAGACACTTTAGGATTGTTCATTCAGAGGGATAAATTACAATTTCATGAAATATCATAACGAACAATCACAATCACTCGTTAATTTTTGTTCAATGTTTATTTTTTTATCAAATCTGTTAGATTTTTTAAACAAAGATGGATAGTGGCTAGCAGTGGAGTTCAGGATGCACGTTTCATCTTATTTGCGACTCGTCAGCTGGATTTACCTGCAATCATAGAGTTGATGTTCACTCTGGGACTGGAACACAGTACCTTTCGTTAGCCATTATCCATCTTTGCTTATAATGCATATGATCTAAAGCAATATCAAAGCAGTCCGCACAGGATGTACATATGCCAATATGAGACTGATCACTTGTAGATCTAAATAACAATGGAAACATACAAGTAAACAACATAATTGTGAATGTAAGATTTTTTGTTAGAAATGCTGTGTTTGTTTTTTTCCCACTAATTTGATGATTTATGAATCTTATTACAACCTATCGGTTCCTTTAATTTACCGAATTACAAATTTCTTCTGATGATTAATCTGTAGTAGTGTCGACTTTATCTGTTATAAGCTGAGCTAATTGTTAATATTTCAATTTTTCCATTGTAATACAAATCAAGTCAATAAGTTCTGCCTTCGAGCAAATTATTTACCATGTGAACTATGAACCAACGTTATCTAGTGGTAAACTCGAAAATGTTATCACTATTCTAACTTACGACTGATTTGTAGGACTGAAATCATGTCCTTTAATTCATAGATCTAATTGAATTATATCAACCAACTGACCGAGTGCCACCCTGCAGAGTACACAACATGATATTTGTTACTATTGACTGACTGACATGTTATTTTTGAAGCTTTTACTTGTAAAATCTATGATTCATGACTTCTCAGGATTTTTACTTTTTTTCCAATAGTTAGTTTAAATTTGGCTTTAGACTCAAATTTTGCAGATGATAGTGGAGATGATAGTTTAAGTTACGTCCATTTATTTAAAACCTTTAAGATCTACATTTCAGTAGTTGCTAAAACTGTTCAGAGTTCTCTTATTTATTAGGAAAGTCCCAAACATGGAAATAAAACGAAAAGTCGACCTGTTTTCACTCGATTCGATACTTTTGTTCTGTTCGATAAGCTTGAAGTAATAGAATCAATGGAATCAGATGGAATGTTTTCAAGACCGTTGAGGTATATCATACTATCCATTCTCAAATATTTTACTAAGTAGAGTTTGTTTAATTATCTTTTTGAGATAAGATAGTGGTTTGAGGTAGTCATCAAGAAACCCTGAACCAAAGTTTCTTGCTACTTGACACTCGTCAGCAAGGTGTATCTGTATTTTTGACGGAACTGACGCTCCCTGACGGATCCGATCCCGTGTCACCCAGCTTCACAATCAGAGACTTTACCACTGAGCTAACCAGGCTGCGACTGACTTCGTGTAGGACTGAGATGTATTTACAATTGATCAATCACTGAATGGTGATCAATGTTATGTATATCAGGTCCTTCTTAGTGCAGATCGAATCTAGTCGACCAGGTTCCAATGTAGCCATCAGTCTAGGTACACCTTGCTGACGAGTGCCAAGTTGCACGAAACCTAGGATCATGGTTTCCTGTCGATTACTTCCAACCACAATGTCGAGTTACCTAGACTAGTCATCACATTAGAACTTGGTCTATAGGACTCCATTTACATTAAGAAGGACCTGACACATAAGACATCAATCATCACTCAGTGATTCATCAATTGTAAAAGCATCTTCCTTTTTGGTTCAGAGTTAAAAGCAATAAGTAATATAACCAAATACGTTTTAGTCAATACAGTATTTCGAACTAAGTAACATTCACCAGTACAATAATACTTCAGTAATCTGTAGTTTATGATAAACTTTTTAAAACAATCAAACATGCACAATGAAATTTAACAATTGAAAAAAAATATTCAAGAGATCAGTATTCGTTTATTATTTCAGCAAAATGTAAATTACATTGATATAAATTGTATAACATAAAAAAGATTGTTTTTTTTAAACCAACACTTGTGATGTTTGTACATTGTTCTCAATGTGGTTCATGATTCTGTAAAGTGGAAGATAAAAGTTAGATGAATATGATAAAAATTTATTTTGAAATAAATTTTTCAAATAACATATTTAACAATTTGGAAGAGTCTCTGGGTCTCCCATATTGTACGAGCATGTACCATGTACCTAAATAAATGGTCGCTCTGGTTGTCAGACGGGGCATCAGCCTCGTGACTTCCGAAGGAACTCAGCTTTTACCATGAGGTGTCATAACTCTTCTGAATGAATACCTTCTAACTCCCAGGGCAAAGTTTAAATGGTTTGAATTATTTTTTCTGGTTAGCGTTTTTTTAGCAATTTAGTTTTCTACGGGTTGGGGTCGCTAACCCATGCTCAACCCTCCTCCCCTATCCGGACTTGGGACTGGCAGTAGCCCCAGAGAAGCTCCAGATAAAGTTCTAGAACTCCAAGGTCTCATGTAACAAACCATTTAACTGTTGATTTTATTACATAAACTAACAATTGAAGTGAAACTTTGTTTGCGTTACAGTCATTTATGTTCAAGTATCAAATTTTGTTGTGTTTAAAGTCTGGGAAGTTGGCTACATTGGTATTATTGCAAGACTCCAATGTTCAGACTTATCAACAAGATTAGAGGATGTTATTTCGAAATCAAATAAACATAGACAGTTCTGGATAGGAGATATAAATTTAATGACTGATGGGTTATATAATCATTGAAGTATTTAAAAGCAACTTAATTCGTATTTTGTTTTTCACAAATTCAATAAAATCTCCCTAAACCCTATGGTTTTATACTAATCGTCTCCTTACTGATTACGAGCTGTGAAATGAACTTTTGAAAATTCTAATAAGGATCTGTGATCTTAACACATAAATGACATTTGATAAGAAGAGCACAATATATTATAAATCGACCAAGGTTTTCTTAATTTTTAATCATTTTATGATCTGAACAGAATAAATATCTCACATACCATTCATGATGATCATGTAACGATATAATATATATATATATATATATATATATATATATATATATATATATATATATATATATGCAGCTGATACTTATTAAGCATCGGTTCATGAATCGAAGTTGGTTAGTATGAACGACTAGACAAATACACCATTAATTAGTATCCAGTGATTAATCCTACGGAAGGTCAGTCACGGCCCGAATAGTCCGAAGATGTTCTCCCGGGTTCTAACTCCTCACGGTAGGTCAGTCCCTTCAGTATACTAGATATGTCTTACTGACGAGTGTAAGCTAGCTTAAAACCTAGGTCAGTGATTTTCTTCTGACTATCTCCAACCACCTACCATGTTTCATTAAAGGAGAGATCTGTTACATAGTGTATGTAAAGATACTCATTAGCGTTACTCGTCCAATGTATAAAACAAGTTATGTAAATTACGTACATAAATACATGCCTAAATAAAGGTAGCCTAAAATCTATTGGTTTTATCCAGTCGGTAAAACTGATCATCAGCTGTTTTTTTAATATTACTTTCACTGTACAAAACAGACATTGAGATAATTTTGTATTAGTTTTGATGATATTATAATGCTGTTCATACAACTCTAATATTTGGTCTCATTCCCAACATAGTTAAACATTAGAAGGTACAGCTAGGAAGTTTTCTATCATTCCATACCAAAATTTATAATCTAAATGAATTGATAGTTTATTTCAAAACTAAATTATAATAATGTATAGTAGTTTGTATTGGTTAATGATTATTAAATTAGCATTGTACTTACCTTCTTTATAAACACACTGTTGTCTACACGTATATTCAATACTTTGTTCATTGTTTAATAGTTATCCTACTGATTAACCACGATATGGACAAGATTGCTTGGATATATATATATATAAAGAGAGAGAGAGACTTTGAAACCTGTTACGTAATAAGGTGTAAAGATTTAGCTAAAGTATAATAATGTTAACTAAGGTATTCTTTCCAATGAAAAAGATGTACATCATATTGGGTACTTATTGTTCAGATGAAATACAAAACTGCATAGCTTAATAGAAGTAAACTTATCAGGAAATTTAAATAACCAATTATCTAATCAATATCGATTAGATGATTTCAAAGTAATCCAATTAACAATGTGTATATAGATGTCTAAATATAATAACGATATTAATATGAAGATAAATAAGTAGTATATTTGATTATTGTGTCAATATTATCCTGTGAATATAATTGAAATTGATAGTTTCATTGTGAAAGAGTCCGATTATATTGGGGTTTTATTTATAATCAGGTGTAGACTACCTGGTTAGGATCTGCTAGACGATAGGAAATGATGGTTAGAGACTTTGAATGATATGACTCAAAATCGTCTTCAGTGAGGCAGGTGCATCCACTCTTTGTGTTCTCCCAAATTCTAATCTTCTGATTTCTTCATGTCCCTTTCTTTTTTCTCTTCCCAAACTTATTTCACTGGATCATACTCCTTGAATAACATTTTCAAACCCTAATTTTTCTGATTACAGCTTATAATCTTACTACATCTAGCACTACGGGATTTGAATCGACCACTGCATATCTGTGCTAATGTGGTGTGGCAACTCGAATTGATGTACGTGCGTACGAAGTTCTACGTTGTTGCTGACTGACTTGTAATCATGGTCATTATTATTTTATAATAATAAAATAAACTGACTTAGAATAAATCAGTCTTAAACATTATTATCACATTACTATTATCTCTTAGGTTTTGTGTAACTTTTAAGGATTTGTATTTTTCACGTTAATGTTATTCAGAACTGTATTAGATTAGTTTCTGTTGGAAAATGTTCATATTGAATAGATCCTAAGATGTTTTCTTTGAATTGTTGGTAGCAGTAGAACTCGGAAGAACGTACTTCGAAGGATCAGTAGAACTCAGGATTTAAGTTTTACCATCTTTATGACTTGTAAACTGAATGTACTTGGATTCAATATTTTTATGTGCACTGTAACCCAAACTCAGTGACGGTCACTTTGAAAACATAAAACAGTGACTAATCTAATACAGTTTTAAATGTCAACAACGGAAAGTCAAATGCTGAAAAATTACTTCATATTCACTGAATAAGTTAGTGATTATTTAGATTCAATGGTTTATTACATAACATGGTAGTGATTATAAATAGTTTTGAGACTCAATCTGCCTATCAACGCACTCACCTACTTGCTTCTAAATAGGACGAAATATTTAGCTTGGATACCACTGTTGCCCACAGTCTGAATACAGTACTGTTTTAAGTCTTTTATTGGAGTCACAAACAAGGATGAAACAACAATCCAATGTCACCTGATTGT